GTTGAAGCGGTATTAATTTACGTTTTCCCCTCTCACCTCCACTTTGTGTCCCTCCTTCCTCTGTTTGCGGGTTGTTTGTGTGAAAACAGGTAACCTAAGATGAACTGTTTGTGTTTCTGTGAATAAACTTCAGGGGTGGCTTCAGTTTTAGCTTCCTGAACAGCCTCAGATCAGAGAAATAGAGTAAGGACTAGTCGGAACTCACCCAAGGACAAACCTAATCTCTGCTGATTTGGAAAAAAGCTCCACACTCTAAACTCTTCCAACAGTCAAAAATGTGTTTAATAAAATCTAGAGTGCCACGCTTTCATATAGCAGCATAAATATCACCGTCATCTACAAAATGAACCGTCACCTTATCGTGGTGGAGGAGTTTGAGTGCCCTAATGATCCTAGGAGCTATGTTGTCTGGGGCACTTAGTGCCCCTGGTAGGGTCTCCCATGACAAATTGGTCTTAGGTGAAGGGTGAGACAAAGAACGGTTCGAAGGATCTTTCATGGCGGTTAAAACGAAGAGTCGGAGTACCCGGCCCGGAGGGTTACCGGGGTCCCACCCTGGAGCCAGGCCTGGGGTTGGGGCCCGTGAGCGAGCGCCTGGTGGCCGGGCTTTCGCCCATGGGGCCCGGCCGGGCCCAGCCCGAACCGGATACATGGGCTCGTCCAACTGTGGACCCACCACCCGCAGGAGGAACATGAAGGGTCCGGTGCAATGCGAATCGGGTGGCAGACCGAGGCGGGAGCCTTGGCGGTCCAATCCCCGGACAAGAAAACTAGTTTTTGGGACATGGAACGTCACCTCGCTGGCGGGGAAGGAGCCGGAGCTTGTGGCAGAGGTTGAGCGGTACCGGCTAGATATAGTCGGACTCACCTCGACACATTGCATTGGCTCTGGAACCCGAGACCTGGAGAGGGGTTGGACACTCTACTTTGCTGGAGTTGCTCCGGGTGAGAGGCGGAGGGCTGGGGTTGGCTTTTTGTTAGCCCCGAGACTCTCTGCCTGTGTGTTGGGGTTTACTCCGGGGGACAAGAGGGTAGCTTCCTTGCGCCTTCGGGTCGGGGAACGGGTCCTGACTGTTGTTTGTGCTTATGGGCCAAATATCAGTTCAGAGTACCCACCCTTTTTGGAGTCCCTGGGACGAGTGCTAGATAATGCTCCATCAGGGGACTCCATTGTCCTGCTGGGGGACTTCAATGCTCACGTGGGCAATGACAGCTTGACCTGGAGGGGTGTGATTGGGAGGAACGGCCCACCTAATCTGAACTCGAGCGGTGTTTTGTTATTGGACTTCTGTGCAAGCCGCAGTTTGGCCATAACGAACACCATATTCGAACATAAGGATGCCCACCGGTACACTTGGTACCAGGGCAGCCTAGGTCACAGGTCGATGATAGATTTTGTAGTCGTATCATCTGACCTGCGGCCGTATGTTTTGGACACCCGAGTGAAGAGAGGGGCGGAGCTGTCAACTGATCACCACCTGGTGGTGAGTTGGATCAGATGGCAAGGGAACATGCCACGTAGACCTGGCAGACCCAAACGCATAGTGAGGGTCTGCTGGGAACGCCTGGCAGAAGAACCTGTCAAGACGGTCTTCAACTCCCACCTCCGGCAGAGCTTTGACCACGTCCCGAGAGCAGTGGGGGACATTGAGTCCGAGTGGGCCTTGTTCCACTCTGCGATTGTCGAGGCGGCTGTTGCTAGCTGTGGTCGTAAGGTGGCCGGTGCCAGTCGTGGTGGCAACCCCCGTACCCGCTGGTGGACACCAGAGGTTCGGGGAGCCGTCAGGCTGAAGAAGGAGGCCTACAGGGCGTGGCTGGTCTGTGGGTCTCCGGAGGCAGCAGACAGGTACCGGATAGCCAAGCGGGGTGCAGCAGTGGCAGTTGCCGAGGCAAAATCTCGGGCGTGGGAGGAGTTTGGTGAGGCCATGGAGAAAGACTATCGATCGGCTCCAAAGAGGTTCTGGCAAACTGTCCGGCGCCTCAGGAGATGAAGGCAGCAACTCGCTCACACTGTTTACAGTGGGGATGGGGAGCTGCTGACGTCAACTGAGGCTATAGTCGGACGGTGGAAGGAATACTTTGAGGAGCTCCTCAATCCCACCAATGCGCATTCCGAGGAGGAACCAGAGCTGGGAGGCCTGGGGATGGACTGTCCGATCTCGGGGGCAGAAGTTGCTGATGTAGTCAAACAACTACACAGCGGCGGAGCCCCGGGGGCGGATGAGGTTCGTCCTGGGTATCTCAAGGCTATGGATGTTGTAGGGCTGTCATGGTTGACACGTCTCTACAACATTGCGTGGTCATCAGGGGCAGTTCCTAGGGAGTGGCAGACCGGGGTGGTGGTCCCCATCTTTAAGAAGGGTGACCTGAGGGTGTGTTCCAACTATAGGGGGATCACACTCCTCAGCCTCCCTGGAAAGGTCTACTCCAAGGTACTGGAGAGGAGGGTCCGATCGATAGTTGAATCTCAGATAGAGGAGGAGCAATGTGGTTTTCGTCCTGGCCGTGGAACTGTGGACCAGCTCTATACCCTTGCAAGGGTGATGGAGGGGGCATGGGAGTTTGCCCAACCAATCCACATGTGCTTTGTTGATTTGGAGAAGGCTTATGACCGTGTCCCCAGGGGCACCCTGTGGGGGACGCTACAGGAGTATGGGGTGGGTGGCTTTCTGTTAAGGGCCATTCAGTCCCTTTACCAGAGGAGCGTGAGTTTGGTCCGCATAGCCGGTAGTAAGTCGGGCCTGTTCCCAGTGAGGGTTGGACTCCGCCAGGGCTGCCCTTTGTCACCGGTTCTGTTCATCACTTTTATGGACAGAATTTCTAGACGCAGCCGTGGTGTGGAGTGTGTCGAGTTTGGTGGCAGGAGAATCTCGTCTCTGCTTTTTGCGGATGATGTGGTCCTCCTAGCTTCATCCAGCTCTGACCTTCAGCTCTTGCTGGGTAGGTTCGCGGCCGAATGTGAAGCGGCTGGGATGAGGATCAGCACCGGAAAATGGTGGCTTGCCACCTCCGGGTCGGGGGAGAGGTCCTACCTCAAGTGGAGGAGTTTAAGTATCTCGGGGTCTTGTTCACGAGTGAGGGTAGGAGGGATCGGGAGATCGACAGGCGGATTGGTTCGGCGTCTGCAGTGATGCGGACGCTGAGCTGATCTGTCGTGGGGAAGAGGGAGCTGAGCCAGAAAGCCAGGCTCTCGATTTACCGGTCGATCTACGTCCCAATCCTCACCTATGGTCATGAGCTTTGGGTAATGACCGAAAGAACGAGATCGCGGATACAAGCGGCCGAAATGAGTTTCCTCCGTAGGGTGGCCGGGCTCAGCCTTAGAGATAGGGTGAGGAGCTCGGACAATCGGGAGGGACTCGGAGTAGAACTGCTGCTCCTCCGGATCGAAAGGAGCCAGTTGAGGTGGTTTGGGCATCTGGTCAGGATGCCTCCTGGACGCCTCCCCGGGGAGGTGTTTCGGGCATGTCCTGCCGGCAGAAGGCCCCCGGGTCGACCCAGGACACGTTGGAGAGGTTACATCTCCAATCTGGTCCGGGAACGCTTTGGGGTCCTGCCGGAGGAGCTGGTGGACAAGGCTGGGGAGAGGACTTCCTGGAGCTCCCTAGTTGGGATGCTGCCCCCGCGACCCGGACCCGGATAAGCGGAGGAAGACGACGACGACGACGATCTACAAAATGTCACGCTTTGGTGCATCTGGGATTGAAATGCTGCAGGGATTTAGGGAAAATCTCTGCAGAAACATCCATAATTGATGACTGGGTCAAAATGTGTTTGAATGACCTGTTGTGAAATTTAAGAGCTGATTAAAAACGATAAACTTTAGTTTCTGTTTTCCTCTAAGTAGCTGCTAGCTCGTTTTAAACGTTCTACTCCAAAACGATCCCAAACAGCCAAAGTATCTCTTCTCTAAATGATGGATGATTAATAAATCCAGCCACACGAAGTGTTGAAGCCATTACAAGTCTTTTATTTATCAAATTAATAACAGATCAAGGCTGAACCGGGAAGACCGTAACTCATTGTTGTGGTTAAAACGTTCCCACGGTGACGCGGGAGGCTGACAAACTCCCAGCTAATCAGTAAACCCATAATATTCTAACCGTAGTTATCTAGTCGGGCTGCACTATGGAGCTCACATTTACTGCCGCTGCAACATCAAAAACACAGCGGACACAATAAATCCGACACAAACGGGATGACGGGAACGCCCTCGGCCAGTTAGGAGGTGGAGGCCGAAGAGAAGAGGGAAAACTGTTTCAATATTGTTGGAGTTATTTTCCCCATCAACAGCCTGGCCCTGTGTTTAACTTGTTTTATTAGAATACATCAAACTTTGCTTTTAATGTTTAGTAATAATAGTGATTAATGTCTAGAGAAAGAAGAAAATTATAAGGATGAAAAGTAAAAGACAAGATTTGATGCTTTTAGCAGGTTTTATATTAGAGTAGAAGGTGCTGGATCAAAAAGTGGAATAAACAAAATAAGAATCCACACACTTCAATCTGCGATGTAGGAGTTTATTGGTCAAGCTTTCTTATTTTGTTTATAGCAGGTTTTATATTAAAATTCAGACTTTGTGTAGCTTTAGGCCAGACAATAATACATTACATATACTTAATTTTGTTAGTTGTATGTTTTTAGGTGTTGCCTTAAACTGATAAATGACAACAAAACAGACCTTTAGTCTGTTTACATAATGAAATAAAAGTTAGATGGGATCTTTTATTTAAATAAATAAAGAAATAAATTCTGTAAAATGACCAGGAAGCAGTAATTCAGTAGAGTTTGATGTTTTTAGTTTTATTCTTGTTTTCTATGATAAATCACTGTTCTACTTTATTTGATTCTAATGTAAAAAAATAAAAATAAAAACCAGAAGATAAAAACTTCCTGTGATCCCGTTTACTCTAACTTCTTCCTACTTGCTGAATATTTCTACCTTAACTGAAAATCCACCCATAACCCTTGTCTCCGTGTCCTCCTCTCTGTCCCTTTAGTGGACATCAACTCGGCGCTGCCCTTGCGTCTCCCCCCTGCAGCCATCCCCATGGATCTGCGTGTGGACCATAACCAGCAGCAAGTGAGCTCGCACTCCCCTCCTGCTCAGCACTCGCCCGGTGGCGGTGGCGTAGTGGCGGCCTCCGTGCGCGAGCAGCAGCTGCAGCAGGAGCTTCTGACCCTGAAGCAGAAGCAGCAAATCCAGAGACAGATCCTCATCGCTGAGTTCCAGCGGCAGCATGAGCAGCTCTCCCGCCAGCATGAGGCCCAGCTCCAGGAGCACATTAAGGTACATCAGCTGGTTCCTGTTGCCACCGCTTCCACGTACATATATGTCACCTCCACATCTATGTCACCTCCACATCTGTCACCTCCACATCCACATCAACTTTACATCTATGTCACCTCCACATCTATGTCACCTGCACATCTGTGCCACCCCCACATCCACATCACCTTTACATCTATGTTGCCTCAATATCTATGTCACCTCCACGTCAATGTCACCTCCACATCTACATCACCTCCACATCTACATCACCTCCACATCGATGTCAGCCCCACATCTGTCACCTTCACATCTATATCACCTCCACATCTATGTCACCTCCACATCTACATCACCTCCACATCTATGTCACCTCCACATCTACATCACCTCCACATCTATGTCACCTCCACATCTACATCACCTCCACATCTGTGTCACCTCCACATCTCTGTCATCTCCACATCTACATCACCTCCACATCTGTGTCACCTCCACATCTACATCACCTCTACATCTACATCACCTCTACATCTACATCACCTCCACATCTATATCACCTCCACATCTCTGTCACCTCCACATCTACATCACCTCCAAATCTGTGTCACCTCCACATCTACATCACCTCCACATCTCTGTCACCTCTACATCTACATCACCTCCACATCTGTGTCACCTCCACATCTACATCACCTCCACATCTCTGTCACCTCTACATCTACATCACCTCCACATCTGTGCCACCTCCACATCTCTGTCATCTCCACATCTACATCACCTCCACATCTGTGTCACCTCCACATCTACATCACCTCCACATCTCTGTCACCTCCACATCTACATCACCTCCACATCTCTGTCACCTCTACATCTACATCACCTCCACATCTATATCACCTCCACATCTCTGTCACCTCCACATCTACATCACCTCCACATCTGTCACCTCCACATCTACATCACCTCCAAATCTGTGTCACCTCTACATCTACATCACCTCCACATCTGTGTCACCTCCACATCTACATCACCTCCACATCTCTGTCACCTCTACATCTACATCACCTCCACATCTGTGCCACCTCCACATCTCTGTCATCTCCACATCTACATCACCTCCACATCTGTGTCACCTCCACATCTACATCACCTCCACATCTGTGTCACCTCCACATCTACATCACCTCCACATCTATATAACCTCCACATCTCTGTCACCTCCACATCTACATCACCTCCACATCTGTCACCTCCACATCTGTCACCTCCACATCTACATCACCTCCACATCTCTGTCACCTCCACATCTACATCACCTCCAAATCTGTGTCACCTCCACATCTACAGCACCTCCACATCTGTGTCACCTCCACATCTCTGTCACCTCCACATCTACATCACCTCCACATCTATGTTACCTCCACATCTATGTCACCTCCACATCGCCTCTACATCTTTGTCACATCTACATCTATGTTGCCTCAATATCTATATCACCTCCACATCTATGTCACCTCCCTATCTATATCACCTCCACATCTATATCACCTCCACATCTATGTCACCTCCCTATCTATATCACCTCCACATCTACGTCACCTCCACATCTATGTCACCTCAATATCTACATCACCTCCACATCTACAGTATGTCACCTCCACATCTATATCACTTCCACATCACCTCTACATCTTTGTCACATCTACATCTATGTTGCCTCAATATCTATATCACCTCCACATCTACGTCACCTCCACATCTACGTCACCTCCACATCTATGTCACCTCCATATCTACATCACCTCCACATCTACAGTATGTCACCTCCACATCTATATCGCCTCCACATCTATATCACCTCCACATCTATATTACCTCCACATCTATGTCACCTCCACATCCACATCACCTTTACATCTATATAATAATAATAATAATAATAATAATAATAATAATAATAATAATAATAATACATTTTATTTAAACAAAAAGCACCTTCCTGGTCACTCAAGGACACTGTACAGAATAAAAACACAAATCATTCAGTAAGTAAACATCAACATCAACAAACAAGGCACTCTAAAATTCAAAGCTGATATGTGGTTTTGAAGAGGTGAGTTTTGAGTTGTTTTTTTAATTCTGTGAATGAGTTAATGTTCTTGATGAGAGGGGGAAGGGAGTTTCAGAGTTTGGGTCCGGTGCAGCTGAAGGCTCTACTCCCCATGGTGCTGAGATGAAAGAAGGACACAGAGAGATGAATGGAGGAGGAAGACCTGAGGGAATGGGACAAGGGGACGATGTGAACGAGATCTGTGAGGTAGTGAGGGGCGACGTTATGGATGGCCTTGAAGGTGAGAAGGAGAATCTTGAAGTTAATCCTGGTATGCACTGGTAGCCAATGGAGTTGTTTGAGGACGGGGGTGAGGGATGGGAGTTTTAGTGACGATGCGTGCTGCTGCATTCTGAACCAACTGGAGCTCACAGAGGGTTTTCTGAGGGAGACCTGAGAGAAGAGAGTTGCAATAATCGATACGTGATGTAACCAGACTATGGACAAGAATAGAAGTAGAGTGGACATCAAGGGAGGGGCGAAGACGATTAATGTTACGAAGATGGAAATAAGCTGACCGTGTGATGCTATTGATATGAGATTGGAAGCATAGTGTGCTGTCTAGGATGACACCCAGACTCTTGACCTGGGGAGAGGGTAAACTGAAGTATTACCAACTGTGAGAGAGAAACTGTCAAATTTTGAGAGGGTATTCTTGGTACCAACCAAAAAAAGTTCTGTTTTGTCTGTATTTAATTTCAGGAAGTTCGAACTGAACCAGGATTTTATTTCTTGAAGGCAGGTGAGGAGGGAGGAAGTGCAGAATTTGGCTTACTGGACAAATAGAGCTGGGTGTCATCCGCGAAGCAGTGAAAATGAATATTGAATCTGCAGAAAATATTGCCAAGGGGAAGGATTTATATAATGAAAAGGAGGGGCCTCAGGACAGAGCCCTGGGGCACGCCACAAGAGACAGAAGAGGGCTGTGAGCGCGAGGATTTGATAGTAATGAACTGAGTGCGACCTGATAGGTAGGACTGAAACCACTGAAGTGGGATGTTAGCAATGCCGATGGAAGATAACCTATGGAGGACAATGGAATGAGATATTGTGTCAAAGGCCGCACTCAGATCAAGGAGGACCAGGATGGATAGTAGACCGGAATCAGCAGCAATGAGGAGATCGTTAGTTGTTTTGAGGAGGGCTGTTTCTGTGCTGTGAAGTGGGCGGAAACCGGACTGGAAGGGTTCATAGGAGTTTTGTGTCAGATGGGTGTGGAGCTGGGTAGCGACTATTTTTTCTAAAACTTTGGAGACAAAGGGTAGGTTGGAGATGGGGCGGAGATTAGTAAAAATGTTAGGGTCCGAACCAGGTTTTTTAAGTATTGGAGTAACTGCAACAGTTTTGAAGATAGAGGGAACAATACCGGAGGAAAGGGATGCGTGTATGAGAGCGGAGACGAGCGGGACCAGGGAGGGGAGGCAGGATTTAATCAAGGCCGTGGGAAGGGGATCGAGAAGGCAGGTAGAAGACTTTGACTTGTGGATAATATCTGATATCTCAGAATCACTGGGAAGTTGGAAACTGGAAAATAACTGTGTTTGTTCGGGAGGATCATATGGGGAGGTAGGGGGGATGCTTTGATTGATTGCATGGTGAATGTTTATTTTTTCCTTGAAGAACAGAAGAAGGGCATTACAGGTAGCAGTAGAGCACATGTGTCCACATCTATGTTACCCCCACATCTGTCACCTTCACATCTATATCACCTCCACATCTGTGTAACCTCCACATCTATGTCACCTCCACATCTATGTCACCTCCATGTCTGTGTCACCCCCACATCCACATCACCTTTACATCTATGTCGCCTCAGTATCCATATTACCTCTACATCTGTCACATCTACATCTATGTTGCCTCAATATCTATATCACCTCCATATCTATGTCACCTCCACATCTATATCACCTCCACATCTATATCACCTCCACATCTATGTCACCTTCACATCTATATCACCTCCACATCTACATTACCTCCACATCTATGTCATCCCCACATCTATGTCAACCCCACATCCACATCACCTTTACATCTATGTCGCCTCAATATCCATATTATCTCCACATCTATATTACCTCCACATTACCTCTACATCTGTCACATCTACATCTATGTTGCCTCAATATCTATATCACCTCCATATCTATGTCACCTCCACATGTATATCACCTCCACATCTATATCACCTCCACATCTATATCACCTCCATATCTATGTCACCTCCACATCTATATCACCTCCATATCTATGTCACCTCCACATCTATATCACCTCCACATCTATATCACCTCCACATCTATGTCACCTCCACATCTATATCACCTCCACATCTATGTCACCTCCATATCTACATCACCTCCACATCTATGTCACCTTCACATCTATATCACCTCCACATCTACATTACCTCCACATCTATGTCATCCCCACATCTATGTCACCTTCACATCTATATCACCTCCACATCTATGTCACCTCCACATCTATACCACCTCCACATCGCCTCTACATCTATGTCACATCTACATCTATGCTGCCTCCACATCTATGTCACCTCCACATCTATGTCACCTTCACATCTATGTCACCTTCACATCTATTATCACCTCCACATCTATGTCACCTTCACATCTATTATCACCTCCTCATCTATGTCACCTTCACATTTATATCACCTCCACATCTATGTTACCTCCACATCTATATCACCTCCACATCGCCTCTACATCTATGTCACATCTACATCTATGTTGCCTCAATATCTATATCACCTCCACATCTATGTCACCTTCACATCTATTATCACCTCCACATCTATGTCACCTTCACATCTGTATCACCTCCTCATCTAGGTCACCTTCACATTTATATCACCTCCACATCTATGTTACCTCCACATCTA